CATTCATAGAGTTTTTTTTCTACACGAAGTGAAAAATTTAAAAAAAAGTATTTGTATATTGAAACCCAATAATAGTCAAACAGTTAAAAAAGCCAGCTCTATAAAGGACTGCTTGGCCTGTAGTGAAGCTCTGCTCAGAGATAAGATTAGCATATCATCATAAATATACCAACACTTGGCTTTTTCAAGAAAAAATAATCAGGAGCAATTTTCCAACTCTCTTAGATTGAGAGAGGAAACAGACGATCAAACAGGAGCCAGTCTCTTTCATGCACCTCCATTGAACAAAGCAAGAATTCAATACTGAACTGCAAATTCAACAAAGCTAAAAGAATTATCATCCTATCATCTCTCACAAGGAAAAGACAAAAATCTGGCTTTGGACCTTGGGACAGTGATCCCAGTGGTAGTCATTTGGTGTATTAAAATAGTTTGAAGTAATGATTCATGTATGAATAACACTACGCATTTGTTTTGTCAAAAATAAGAAAAGGAGAGAAAATGTCAATAAAGTAATATATAACTGAACAAATGAGATGGAATTAACATTTGCATGATATACTCATTCAATGGAATATTTAAAATGATAAATGGCTTCTCTATCAAGCCAATTCACAACCTCTTAATGAATTAAAAATTGAGCTATATTTGGAGAAATGTAAAGTGATCCAGTTTTACTCTGAATCAGTTTGTCCAGGAATTTTTTTAAAGGAATTTTGCTGATTTTGTGTAAAAACAATTGATTTGCAAAATAAGGCATAGCAAAAAAGAACTGTGAAATGTTCATTAATAGAGTATAGGGTTCTGCAAAATCTTTGCTAAATAATATATCCCTCTCATTTAAAAATGTTTTTCATATAGTTTCTAACAAGATTATGTAAAAATGAGATCAGCATTCAACTATCATGATTCAATTTCTTAAATTTCATTCTGTAAAAAAATTTGGATTATTTTCAACAGATGGTGGCCTGATGTGTTGGTCATAGGAGCAGACCTTAAAAATAATACTTAAAAAATTAAAATATTAAAACAACATTGTTGTTTTATTTTGAATATTTTAGGTGATAAAGTTAAATTCACTAAGATATACTAATGAAATTTAAAATGATACTAATTCATTTGAAATGGCAGGAATTTTTCTTAAAATTAAACAAAAACCCAGAAGCATCCTTTCAAAACATTCCTGGTTGTATTATTTGTGGTTCTTGAAGGATATGTAAGCTGGTGTTACAGGAAAACTTTTCTAAAGTTTCTTCAAGGTGTGTTTAGAAAAAAAAAGTGTTTATGTGATTTAATAACTTTCTTAAGCTTCATTAAAACACTAACCTTTATTATCAAATATCCGAGGAGTAGGGACTATGGCATAGGATCATATATTCTCAGAACGCAGTGAACATTTGTGAGAAACCATTGACTTGGACACGATTTGGAAAATACTGGAATATAGGTGAATGCAGAAGTATCCTTTAATTATTTTCTTTTAGGCATTGAGGGACACATAAAAATATATTTGCTTCTCATTGAAACATCTTTTCTTATAAGGTCAAAGGTGTATTTAGAATAAGCAACCTACCACCCTAGGGATAGAAGGAGGCAATCAAAAATACTGTAAGTCAAGGAAAAATAACTTTAGAAGTTATACCTAGAGAATAAATTATTATACTTATGGTGAATGTCAATAAGGAGGTGCCTTCTCTCACAAGAATACTCATTTAGGATAGAGATCAAATATTAAACATGAGGGGAAGTCAAGAGATCCGACCACAGTCAACTCAAGAGACCCTAAAATTTGACTTTCCATCAAGAAGAATTTTTCAATTTTAATTAGATATTAAAATTGCAACTTTAACCTACAGAAGATGACAGAACATCAAAGCAATGACCCAGAGAAAAGCTAGTGGGTTTTCTTTTGTTGTTGTTTGTTTTTAATATTTGGAGATTTAAATATTGGATTTCTACCTCATTTTCCTTCCATACATTCTGTGCACAAAAAGTAATGTAATGGCAGGCATGTTTAATTCATGAGTGCGGGAATCGCATTTAGATGTTGTTTGCCAAATGGAAAAAAAAAAAAAAACAGACACAAAAGAAGCAGGAAAATCCAATAAAGCCTCCTAACAGAAGTGCACACAGTTAAAAGTGGTGGGGTGGATCATCAGAACACTTTCTTCAATCAGTGTAACCGATCGATTTGTTCATTCATATCAGCAACTTAATTTGACTTATTTCAAGGAAACATCATTCTTACTTATATTAACTTTTCAAACGATATTTAGAGGTCATCCTCCTTTTAATATCATAAAAAATTTTGCTTCCATTAAAAAAAAATTGCTGGTCAGAAAACCATGTAGCAAAATGAGTACTTTTAGACTGAATGGGATTTTGCTGAATGCATAATCTGTAAGGAAAAAATAAAGCTTAAAAAAAAAAGCAAAACTCAACAAACTCATCTTCTTAGTAGATATTTATATATTTTACTGTGTCATTCAAATTTAATTGACAGCTGTGATTATTATGAAAAAAAATAAAGGAAAAATAAAAATGATTGGTGCAACTCTTCTAGAATGACACTGGTCCATGCTTATAAAGCATCCAATTCAAAGGCCTACAAGATAAATAGGGTCAGCTCACAATCTACATATCCATCTGATTGTCTCTTGCAAGGAGGGAGACATTTATTGGGACTTTGTATTTGCAGTGAGAGACAGCTTGCAATCAGCCTACTGCTTCTCTAGGTCTTTTAAGACATTGATGAAAAGGACAGAAATACGAAAATGAAAGAATGCATTTCAGGCCACTTCGAGACTAGATAGCATGAGAGGAGAACTTTAAGGAAAAGATAGGGATTTTCCTAGAAAAAGCCCTGAATCTTTTTTTTTTTTTTTTGAGATGGGAGAAAGTTAAATGGACTAAGTGAAAAATAAACTCACTAGAAAAATGATAGGCAACTTACAATTTCATGTTTAAAATTTGATATAATGTCATAACTAAGAAGGACCTCAGAGGTCTCTTAGGGCAGTGATTCTCAGATTTTGGGTGCTTGTCAAAATACACATTCCTAAACTCCATCCCTAGAGATTTATTCATTCAACATAAACTTGTTGATTCCTGCTATCGTCTAGGCTCTGGGATAGTGGTGACTGAGCCAAAATCATTGCCCTTTTAAATGTATGTTAACACAAGTGGTCCACAAGTCATACTCTGAGAAACATACCCTTTTCCAACAATTTTGCTATTGGAATTATCCTTATTTTGATACTAATTTTTCATAGCACCGTTAACCTTGGGATTCAAATGATATATGTATAGTAAAATAAAATAGAAGAGTTTATTTCCCAGAATGAACAAGCAAAACTTGTCAGAGGCCCACTCTGCAGTCAAGACAACTGGGTCACTTCCCGCTGCTGTGTCACTTGGGGGAAATTAATTACTCTAAGCCTCAATGTCATCATTTGTGAAATAGGAATCACAAAGAGTACTTAACTTTTCGGTTGCTATGAGGATTAAATGAGTTAATATCTGTAGTGACTGGTATATGGTAAGCACTCAAGTAAATGTAAATTTTTATAATCTATTAGTCAATTACTGTGATTGTACAAGTTTTCTTATGAAGCCGCCACAGTGGATCTATCTGATCTAGTAGAATTGTGGAACTTCAGAGGTGGGAAAAATTTGATAGGTGGCTGGTGTGTTATGATGGTGTTTAAATCTGCTGGGGTGGGGTTGGGGCACCCAGATCTAAACTGCTGCAGGAACTCCATCATTGCTTTGAGCTGTTTTACCTAACAGGATTCCATATGCAATTTTAGTAGAAAAAAGTCCTGCTGTTAAGAAAAACTTGAAAACCACTGGCAATCCCAATCCCTCATTCTAAAGATGAGAAACTGAGAAAGGCAGTGATTTGTCCAACGTCACACAACAGCAGTTAGCGATAGGGTTAATGTAGTCACCAGGCTTCTTTGAAAAGAAGATTTAGAAATGAAAATATGTGTCGTGATTGCCTCAAACACTTTGCAGATTGAGTAAAAATACATAAAAGCAAAAATAAAACATCTCTATTCACTCAAAACCATTTGAAATGTGGACATTCTTTCTTTTTAGGTGAAATAGATTCTCAAATACCATACAGTGAATTTTCATTTTGTCTGTAGGTATAGAGAAGAACAGAGCTTTAAAAATAATTAAAAATTTAATTCTTAGGAATTATAAATTCCAACTATGGTAAAATTCAGACTAATTCTGAACAAGAATTTATTTTTCAAAATATCAAGAAAATATGGAATTTATTTAAAAAGAAAAACATACTTTTCATGTTGTCAAAATAAAGCAATATCATTCATACTTTCTATCTTGTTAGAACAGAAACTTTTAAAATCATAAATCTCAAGAAATGGTGTTCTGGTTAATGAGAACTCTTTATTTTAACCCCTGGTATTGAAAATATTAATATGTACTTGCCCATTTTGTTCTGTTTTAGGAACTGATAATGAACCTGACAATGTTTTTTTTTTTTTTTTTAATATATAGTAGAGACCCTTGCATTGTCTAGGATCTTTTTTCCTAATATGAATTCTTATTGTACAGTACTATGGATACACGTATAAGAGGAGATTGTAAACTACAAGATTAAAAAAAAACCCTACCAAAATCTAAAGCCCTGATATGAGTTTATTGTGTTATTATTTGACCTATTTTTCTGAAAGGAGAAGGGATATCTTCTCTATTGAGGTTCTGGTTATTGAAAGTTTAATAATTATGAAGCCAATGACCTCCATTCTGTTTCACAAAGACCAGCTAAGGGATCATAAGAGATCTTCATAGTGTCAAATTTAGTTCCTGGAAATGTTTGAATAACGTTAGAGATTATTGTAGTCTATGTTTCAAATTATATTTTTACAATATCAACAAAATTATTCTTTGAAAAAAACCCTTGTGTTTAATTACTAATTCACTCTAGAACTATATAAAATAAAATATAAAGAGCAAGACATAAGAACCAGTAATATTTACACATTTTTAATATGTTTTGTGTTAATACTCAATACGTTTTCCTTATGAATTGATTACTTAAAAACGCATTTTTATATTCGTATGCTGGATAATTCTCAATTTTCTGCTGCTTACTCTCCATTGGTTTCAGTGTTTGATGTTTCCCCATGTTTTGTGGGATTTAAAAGTTTGCATATTCTATTTTGGTTTCAAAATCAAATTGAATATCTTTACTTAAAATGAGTATATTAATAATTTGTCCAAAAAACTTCCACACCAGACTGTCTGGGGAGCCAGTTGAGAGTGTTTGAATAGTAGGAATTCTTCTGAGATAAAACAGATCATTTTGAACATTCTCTTGGTAGCAAGCACTGATTGAGAAGTACAAATATTAATTTAAAAAGTTCCACTATAAACAATTGCCAGTCACAATCTCATTTTAAAAGTAAGACTTACAAAATTTAATTTGATTCTAAAATTTAAAGGGACTAATGATTCTTTGTCAAATGTAAGTGAACATAAAATAAAATTTAGCAACTAATGATAAATACAACAACTTAATAATTCCAGTTATTTAATAGTATAACTTAGAATAAGAATTGGTTCATGTTTAAAAGGTCTATGACTTAAAGGAAGTTTCATGTTTTCAGATAGTAGAGGAGGAAAGTTTTACAACCAAGACCCACCCAGAAGAAGTGCTTCTCCGTTCTGAATCCTCACATTGTGAGGCCAGACTGAGTAATTACAGTTTTAATTATACCTTGTGACAATGAAATCATGACATAAATTTTTGATAACTCTCTGATTCCCCGAGAATGGCAAAGATTTATAGTTAACATATGATGAATCTTATCTAAAAGGAAATTTATTGCACAATAATGTGGACAGAATTTCATTTATAAAGATTTTTTTTTTCCTTCTCAAACGATATAAATGATGATGATTAAAATTTTCCTTCTGGACTTAAACGGGGGACTAATTTTTTCTTCTGAATTTTAGTCTTAATGTTTTGATTCCTGCAGGTAAAGAGAAAGATATGTGGTACCATTCTCCATGCTAGCTGGGAGAGACTGTTTAGAGTAATTGTGCAAAAGTTGTTCAGCAGTTCAACTATGGAAAGTCTTGAAATTTTAAAATCACAATTTTGGCTTTAATCTGATATTATTCAGCAATCTCCACATTCGTTAAACTGCAGAGAGAGGGGGAAGTAGTTAAGACTTCAACATCTTCTTTACTCTTGATTATAATTTCATATACTTAAACTTTAAATATGAATTGCTTTCCCTTTTTACACAAGTTATAAAAATAAGAGGCCCTGTTTACACAGTTCGCATTTTTATGAAATTTGCAGTTTGAAAAAAAAGCTTTTTTAAAAAGTGGTAATTAATGCTCTTCTTGAATATGCTGTAACTTTAGAATTTTTTTTTTTCTGAAATAGTTTCTAAATTTAACCCACTAAATATTTGAAGATAGAATTTTTATTTAGCACTAGAGTAAAACATACTAAGGATTGAAGAAAAGGAAGTTGTTTTTCTTTTCTGGTTCCACTTAATTTTCTTTGTATGTGGCACCCCCTTTATGACAGCTATCAATATTATATTTAAATTTTATATATTGACAAAATGCAATCTACCTCTGTAATCATTGTGCCATTCAACAGTACTACTATTAAATTTACATACCACCGTTTAAATCACATCCATTTCAGGAATGGTAAAATGCTAAAACTCAAGTGTCTAACTGCCTTACTGGAATGAGTACAATTTACAAATACAATAATTACATTTTAAAACCATTAACAATATTACACCTAGAAGTAAATACTGTAAGACTGGTCATCATGGTATTGTGTGAGGGAAATCATTGCTGAAAGTCATGGACATTTCCAGCAGATATATCCCAAGTGCAGATTTTGGTTTGTTTCCATCAAACCAAAATTAAAACCTGTTTCTCAGACAACAGTTCTCCATTATATGAATCCTCCAAATCCTTGCATAAGATTTTATTAGTTATCTGCCAAGTATTTTCCTGCAAAACAAAACAACATATCAGCAGGTTACCTGGTGATTATGATATGGGCAACATTTTTATTCTATCTGCCCTATGCCTAGAACCCAAATACTGCATCTTATGGGGTGCAATACTAGTATAAAATATATACAATTTCTTAAGTTTTCAATTTCCCAGACCAGCTAGTTGCCTTTTCACATTTCCACATATGAACACTTTGCAGAGGTTTGGGTTTTAGGATAGGTTGGGAGATTTGTTTCTGGATGTGGGAATCCAACTTGTTATGGGAAGAGTAACCATATAACCTGGGTCATTTTTGAGAGTGGAAGGGTTATAACTAATAATTACATGAGTACAGCAGGCATAAAAACCAGGAGTTATCCTGACAAGTCATTGATAAGTATAATCACCCTAGTGTTGGAGACTCCTTTGCTAACAAACTATCATGTTGTGCCAAAAACCTGTCTCATGGCCATATTCAGCTCCTCTGGGCAACCATTTCTGGTACATGGCCTAGATTCTTTAAGGTTGCTTATTTTAAAGTGAAAGATGGATCCTCTAGATTCCAGCTATACCTGACAAATACAAAATCGATGAAGCCTTGTTGGAGAAAAAAAGTCTTCCGGTAAGAGGTAAATTCAGAGGCATGTAGCATTTATTTTGTTTGTCAAAATAAAAACAGTAGGATTTACTACATTAAATTAACCTCAGTATATATATGTATATATAATGTATATACTGGGAATAACTGGTAATTCCTACAGAAGAAACAGAACCAGATAAGTAGCCAGGGCCTTCCTAATTCTGACTTCCAGTTTATTATCCCATTTTTGCTTCATTCTACAATCGGTTTGCTTTCTAACTTGGATGAGAAATGGGGATTGGGAGTGAAGAAGAGGAAAAGAAAGAAGATGAGCAAATCAGACACTATTCCTTCTTGAGAGAGTAGCTACGGTGACCTATTTTTGCAAATGAAAACTCAGAGGATGCCCACTTACCTGCAGCAAACCTTTTCTTGATGAGTGAGAACCGATACCCTGCTCCAACAAGTTCAATGTCACATCCCGAAAGGGTGCTTCCTTCACTTGTGAACTGCACAACCAACGGGGAGGGTTTGCTTGGGCCTTCAGACAACTGAAATCTCGCCAATAAAGAACCCACCCCTATAAAAAGAGTATCATTACAAGATAACAGTCAACACAACATGCTGGATATAGTTTTGGAAATTGTATTCAAAAGTTAACATACAAAATCTAACTTACTAGAAAACAGTATATGTTTCAGTGACAAAATGGTGATGAATAAAATTTATCATGAAATATCATGAGGAACTTTTTTTGCACACTGATGAAAGTGTAATTCAACCAAATGGTACTTCAAAATTTGGAAGCATGTTGCTTGGAAGGCAATGTTATTTTCCCAGTCAGAGGAAAGTGAGAAATACCTCAACTACCAGGGAGTGGAGATCTGACACAAAATGAAAACATGTCTCATTAAAAGCTCTTCTCTTTTAGAAGTATGGTCTGTTTGATGTGGGGTTGGGGAAGTGGAGGATTCACTGAGGAATTATTTGCTTTTTATTGGTTGAAATGAGTATATACCAAAACAAAGTGAAATATTTTGCTTGCTTCTAACGCTGTATATTTTAATAGTTTTCTAATACCTGAAAGTTATTTCAGCTTTATATATTAAATAAAGTAAGCCTGTGATTACATTACCTCCATTTTCTGACTTCTGAGAAATATCAGGAATCTTCCACAATATTCTTTGTTGTTCAGCATTCCTAAAAATAAAATAGGTAAGTGTTCTATATAGTGTTAATTTAAAAAAATGGATCTTGACAATGTTAACTACAATTTAAGCATTATCTATCTATCTATCTATCTATCTATCTATCTATATCTATCTATCTATCTATCTATCCATCCACACATAAATTCTCTTTTTTCTGTTCCTTATTGTAACTAGCCACAACACTGTCAGATAGGAAAACATATAGAGGACAATGCAGTTAAATTTTTTGACACACCTACTTATCATAGACGCTAAGTCTTAATTAATTCAGGAAACTTAAGTTTTAGCTGTTGTATGGATGACTTTTTTTTTAATGTTTTTTTGCTTCTGACAGTCACATGGAAAAACTAGAATAACTTTTTCTAAGAGAACAAGTTCTTTTTAACAGCTACTATCAGTACTCAGTGTCTCTTCAGTGGCTGTTCCCGTACCTTCTCTAGTGGTGCCTTTTTAATTGTCCAGAGGCTACAAAACAAAACCCTGCATTTCTCAGACGCCCCTGCAGTTAGGGTCCTAGATGCAGATTAGGGTCCACCAATTACAGGCACTGCTTGAGATTTGGAGGATGGAAGGGGGGCAGAGGCCCTTCTCTTGCCATATTTGTGGTTCTTTCCTGCTAGCCAGCAGCCTAACTGAGACGTGGGGATCTTCTCACAAAGTGCTGCATGCAGGCCAGTCTCCAGTTGTGTGAGCGTTGAGAAGCAGTTAAGGCAGGTGGGTAGGAACTTTCTTATCGGATCAACGTGGCAGTGGTGAGTTCTTGAATTCAATGGCTCCATGGGCAGCTTTCTGATTTCTCTGCTTCTTGGTTGTGGCAGAGGGAGCACCTTCCCTGGCGAGTCAGTACTGCAGTGTTCTGGGGCACGTTCTTGGAGATCCAGTCGAAGGCTTATTCCTCTCGCACTTCCACTGTTGTGTGAGCATTTAATCCCTGTGTTAAATCCTTCTCTGCTTAAAATAACAGAAGGGTTTCTGTTTCCTGCCCTGAACCCTGACACACAGGCCTGCTGTGATGTCCTCCTGTAGGAAATAAAAACGCTAAGAAGGCTGTGAGGCCTTTGCCCGGAAAGAGCCATTTGGGAAAGAGAAAGGGGACTGGTGGCTCCTTACCAGACTGCGGGTGGGAGCACGGCCTGGAGCTTGGTTACCCCTCCGTCTATGGGGACCAGGAACTGCACATTGTTGAGGGCTACGGCCGTTGTCATTGCATCCGTATTGTATTTGTAATCTATGCGCAGGTCAGTGCTGGCCGGCTCGCACCGCCAGTTCACGGCCAGGTTCAGAGGTGTGGACTGAATGCCCTGGGCAGACACCTTGCCAAATGACAGGAAAGAGAATATTTAAGGCTCGACTGTTAATCTGAAACAAAGCCAGAAGTTATGATTATCTCCCATAGGAAGGTTCTGAGCTGTCAAATGTCATCGTGTGGATGGTGCTGCTCACAGATGAGCTCTCAGTAAATAGCACCGTGAAGGGTGCCCTGTGAAAGAGAGCTGGGTGCAACAGGGAAATTGTTACAGATTAAAAACAAAATCAGTTGCTAAACTCTCTATAGCACTTTAGAGTTTACAATGCACTTGGGTCAGGTAGGGAGGTGGTAGCACACTGGTTAGGAGCTGAGGCCAAGGAGTTAGTCTTGGATGTGAGTTCTGACTGCCACTTACAAGCTGAGTGATCTTGGGCCAGTCACTAAACCTCTCTGAGTCTCAGTAATTTCTTCAGCTGCCAAATGGGAATTATAACAATAATATCTACCATAGGCTTGTCAGGGAAGATCGAAGATATTTTATGTGAAACAGCATAGTGCCTAGCACTTAGTAAAGCATTAACATTTTCATACATATTACCTATTAATACTCTTATCATACTTTCGCTTCATAACACACCAGTGAGTTAGACGAAGCAGGTTACTATCACTCCTTTGGGATTTGCCAAAGTGAGCACTTGAACCCATATCCTCTAACTGGAAGGGGTACATTCTACTGTCTCCCATCAATTCTAGTTAGAATCCACTGTGAGTTTGACCAAGTTTGCAGAATCAACAATATTGTCTTACCTAAAGACAATAATACCAACTTGATTTCTGGATCCACAGTGAAAAATTCGTAATGTTATTATTTCTCAACTACTCACTGTGATGATGAATAGCTTTAGGAGATTCTTCTTTTACCAGCACACTCACACCATGGGGGTTGTGTGGGTGATGTCTACACCCTTGTGGTTTTATTCACAGAGGATGAGTTTTGCTGATTTTAAAGTAAACAGCTCCCTTTAGGCCTAGCAATGCCTGCACGTATGGACACCATGGGGAAGGAGCCTGAGGGCAGGCTGAGCTCATAAGGCAGCAGTGGCTGCAGCAGAAATAAGCCCAGATATGAGTTATTGTATAAAATGATAGACATGGCTTTTGATGACAATTTTAGTTAGACAACCATTATACGTTTTTAAACTTTAAATTTTTTTTGCAGCATAATCCTCTGCAAATGAACTTTGCTTTGGAAATATGTTATTTAAGGTAAATCAAAAGCAGAGCAGACAGACCCCTCCCTGCCCGTTTCTGTGCTCTGTCTCAGTGGTGGTTCTTGACTTCACAGTGGCTCCTCTCCCCAGTGATGGCGCTTTTTGGGTTTGTGAGGGTGTGTTTTTGATTGTCCCAGGCCCTGGGGGATGCTCCTGGTGGCCAGAAACTAAACATGCTGAGATTTGAGGGCAATCCCACAAAACGCTCGTTGTGCCTCCCACCCAATTCCTTCCATCCCTGGAAAACACCACCACCACAAGTAAACAACAGCAAAAAGGATTCCTCAGAGCTCACTTTAAAACAAAATGGCGGGGCGCCTGGGTGGCTCAGTCGTTAAGTGTCTGTCTTCAGCTAGGGTCACGATCCCAGGGTCCTGGGATAGAGCCCCGCATTGGGCTCCCTGCTCTGCAGGAAGCCTGCTTCTCCCTCTCCCACTCCCCCTGCTTGTGTTCCCTCTCTCACTGTGTCTCTCTGTCAAATAAATACAGTATTTTTAAAAATAAATAAATAATAAATAAATAACACAAAATGGCAGGCCTAGGGCTACTTATATTTTACAAATACTTTGAAATATGTTACGCTATTAGCTCCTCACAACAACCTACAAAATATCTAGGTAGGAATTGTTATTGTCCTTATTTGCAGATGAGGAAACAGAGGTTCAGGGAGATTAAGTGCCTAAAGTCAGTGGCCTGTAGGAAGCTGACTTAATTCCAGAATGCAGTTTCTTGCCTACAATTTAATACTTTACACCAACCTCAGGTTGCAATAGGTGAATTCGGTCTATTTCCTAGATTCACTTAATGACAAATATGGAGACTAAAAAAAAAAAAAAAAAATCCCACAGCATTTAAGAGTAAAAAAAATGTTTTTAATCAGAAGTGACAATGTAGACGTGGTGTTTGTAATGAATGTTTGTGAAAGAAAACAAGTACGGGTTTATTTTTACCCCTCTGGGCATAAAGAACCATGCATGTGCCTCGAAATTTAATTTCTCATTCAGGGAAACATTTTATTGGAGTTTGCTTTTTTCGCTCTTTTTCATTTCTCTCAGAAGCTTAAAGCAGTCACTAAATGTGTTTAAATGTTTTGGGGGGAAAAGTTAAATAAAAATGCATTTTTAATTATATTTTAATTATATAGGTGATGAATTTCTGTGGTATCATGTTGGTTCAGTATTATTGATAATGTCCAAAGCTTAGAGGATATTATTCTTACAGAACAAACATTCATTTGCATTTTTGTAAAATGTTCTGTCATGTAGATACTTTACTTTTAGTGGCTTCCTTACAACAATATAAATAAGTGTTTTCCAACCCGGAGGGTATACTACCACCACAGTGAACTAGTTTACCAATATTTATAATCTCAATTATTGGAAGTTTCTGCAACTTCATTTTTGTAGTCTCCAAGTAGCCTTTTAAGTTTATTTTCTTAAAAATTATAGCTTTTAAGTTATATTAAAAGAAATGCTATTTTATTTACTTTTCTTTAATGTTAGACATGTTAGAATATACATTTATAATGTGAAAGAGACACCCTGACCATATGAATAGGCTTACCTGATATTTGAGCATGTCCACATTATAATATGTAGCCTGGGGTTTTTGTTCCGACACTTTCTTTAGGTGAGTCATCAAATTTGGCATGTTTACCCAGAATTCCTTGGTATTGGCATCATTTTGAGTATTATCACTATTTAGTTGGGAAGAAAAAATTATTGAGTAGTATCTTGTGACAAATACCTACCCAAAGAAGCATCTTAGCAAATTGTCACCTGTTTCCATCTCCATCTTTGACAGTCTATAGAGATCATATTATTAGCAGTAGTATAGTTTTAGTACAATTGCAGTTCTGAATGGCATTATATTAATAGATTAATACCCATAGGGAGGCATGATTGTATTGCTATGAATCTCAGTGAGTACCCAGTAATATCAACCAATCCTGATGAAAACTGGTTGCTTTAAAAAGTGAATTATATATTAACCCAAACTTAATAGCCCTTTCTACATCACTAGTTTTCCTCTGAATTAGTCAGTTAATGCAATCAAGGAGCTGAGTACATTGATTTTTTTTTTTTTTACTTGACTTGAACAGTAGTTTCTCAGAAATTACTGAGTTAAATATTTGGCCAAATGTAAACACAGTCTTTATCTCCAACTGAGGGGAACAGGGCGATACTAAAACTACAATGGTATTTCATCGAAGAACAGCTAAATCATAAAACAGTCACTGCACTTACAAGATGATCCTGGAATGTGAATGATAATAATCATGGTAGTTAAAATAGAGAAGTGCAGTCTTGATGAATTCAGGAGTTTGGTATTCCTAGAGATTTGTTTTGCTCAGATGTCTGTCCACACATCCTTCACCCAATGTATCTTGAAAATGCTTGTCTCAATGACAAAAGGAATCAGGCAAGAGTGTGAAAAGCCTCTGCTCACTTCCCACATAATGAGGAAACTTAGGGTCCAATGAATTCAGTAACCTGACATACGACTCACTTACTGAATGACAACCAGAGGTTAAGAAGACAGAAGGGTGATAGTAATGAAGTGATGATGGCAGGGGCGCCTGAGTGGTTCAGTCAGTAAAGCTACCAACTCTTGCTTTTAGTTCAGGTCATGATCTCAGGGTTGTGAGACTGAGTCCCACGCTGGGCTCCATGCTGAATGTGGAGCCTGCTTAAGATTCTCTCTCTCAGGGCGTGTGGGTGGCTCAGTCGGTTAAGCCTCCAACTCTTGATTTTGGCTCAAGTCATGATCCCAGGGTCATGAGATCCAGCCTTGTGTCTGCTCCACGCTCAGTGGGGAGTCTGCTTGAGATTCTCTCCCTCTCCCTCTGCCCCTCCCCTGCTCACACTCTCTCTCTTTAATATAAATAAATAAATCTATTTTTATTTTTAAAGATTCTCTCTATCCCTCTCCCTCTGCTCCCCCACCCCCAAATAAATAAATAGTGATGAAGGCAAGTGAAAAGTAAGTTGCTATGATTCCACCTCCAAAAGTCAAACAAATTAAGAGAGTGAGTCATAAAAAAAATCAGGGCTTTCTTCAAAACTGCTACTGATCTGTTAGGAGGGACTGGTTTTGTGGCCCAAGTCTGAGTATGACCCATGTGGTTCTGCTGTGCCCTGGTATGGGTTGTTGAGAACAAAACAAAGCTCTCTAACTCTGTAACTCCGCTGGAAAAGACTCCTGCCTCCTGAAACTTTGGTCCTGGTCAAGCTGGGCTAAGGATGCTGATGAGGGCTGTCTAAACTTTTATTACCTAAAAGCATCCAACTTACCCAGAGGCAGGAGATAAGAATAATAGAAAGTCAGTGAAATTAAGTAATTTGCTTAAGGTTAACAGCAAATAAATAACAGAGTCAGGATTCCAGCCCAGGTCAGTGGACCACAGGTCATACTTTCCCACTGTACCAAAAAGAGTTACAGAATTAACATCCAGCAACATGTCATTAATTTGTACTAAGTAGATCTGAATAGCTGGGAAAATTTCAATGACACTATTTTTTAAGGAAATGTATATTCTAAGCTTAATAACAAATTAAGCTTCGTCCTATACCTACAATAATTCCTCAGAGAACTTGCTTTAATAAATATTCAAGAAAGCTTTGCCAGTATCAAATAGAGATGTCAATTAGACAGAGATGCAATTCTTGAATGCTCAAGAAGTCTTGAAAATTCTTTAGTCTCATGATTGGTTTAGCAATTGTTCCTGAATTCTTTACAAGCACACCCCTTTTGTTAGGGAAAAGTAGACGTAAACTTCAATTTGGTCCTGAGGGATTGCAAACCTAAATGTCTTCAGGTGCCAAGCTGTTAACCTAAATGGAGTCTTTCAGAACACATAAATGAGAGAATTGGCTGGGTCTAAGGCTTGTAGTGCAACTGAGAGGACTTGATTGTGTTGCCTTTTAAAAACTAGGGATAGTAGCAGTGATGGTGGAACCATCCTGCATAACAAACCCTCATAGGTCCCATGACTGTGGTTACTGGTCACAGTCCTGACACAATAATCAAATATTTAGAGTTTATAAGGTCCAAATGAATGAGGAGTGTTCGTTTGTTTGTTTGTTTGTTTTGGTCTTAGCAAATAATAATGTAAGGGTCTATATAATGTTTTGTCAGACAAAAACATACTCAGAGTGTGATTTAATTCAATTCATAGGACTGATATATTAATATAAATATAAAACTCTTGCAAATATGCCTAAAATCTTGGCCACATAACTACCTAAAGATGCAACAAAAACCGTGACATTAGTCTTATTAGCAAACAAACCAGTGAGATGGTGGCACATAATCCCTAATTTCAGATAGAGGAATCTTGAAAAATAAAATTAACTCGTTCAACTGGGTGTTGTACATTAAGGGGTGAATCACTAAATTCCACACCTGAGGTTAATATTACACTCCATGTTAACTAACTGGAATTTAAATAAAAACTTGAAAAGAATTAACTGGCTCAATGTGCACATCAAAAGCAGGAAGGGAAACTTGAAATAAGAAGTTGCTGATTTCTAATCTTGATTTTTTTGTTTATTTTTCATTCAATGGGTGACCATTTCCTTCCATACTTTTTTATTATTATGTTATGTTAATCACCATACATTACATCATTAGTTTTTGATGTAGTGTTCCATGATTCATTGTTTGTGTATAACACCCAATTATACTTTTAAACCTGGAATCAATTTTTCTAGTTAAACCATGGCAACGACCAAAGAGGGGAAGGTGGTCTTCGTAATCACCTGAAAGACCTGTGACTGTTTTGTCACCACTGGAATGAAAGTCTCAGTGAAGAAAGTGACTACATTGGTCCTTCAATTCGAAATACCAACAAACTTTAGTCATTTCTTTTTTCTTTTCTTTCTTTTTTTTTTTAGAGAGAGAGCGCATGCGTACATGTGTGCACGCGTGAATGTGGGGGGCCACCGGGGGAGGAGAGGCAGAGGGAGAGAGAGAATCTTAAGCAGGCTCCACACAGGGAGACTGCTTTCTCACAACCCTGAGATCATGACCTGACTCAAAATCAAGAGTCAGTGGCTTAACCAACTGAGCCACCCAGGCGCCCCAACCTTTACTTATTTCTACATAAATATCCAGCTTGACTAAATTCTTTAAATCATAGTTGAGTTGTTCATTCATTCAACAAATGTTAGTTAAGTCTTTACTGGATGCCAGGCGCAGTGGAAGATATCGAGGATGTGATGGTGAACTAAGAGATGTGTTCCATTCCCTCATGGATTTTACACTCTAGTGGGGGAGATGGATGAATGAAGAAACAGAAATAAATATATAATTATTAATTCTAGCAAGGGACAAAGGGGAAGAATAGGGTACCTTGAGAGACAACAACAAGAGGACTATTTGGTTTGGGGATGGGGGATGGGGGTGGAGAGGGGAGTGGAATGGTCAGGGGAGGCCAAGCAGAGCTGAGATCTGAAGGGTGAGTCAAGGTCAAGGTGCAGAGGGGTAGGAATAGTATTGGAGGCAGAGGAAGCAAGCACACAAATTCCTGACGTGGGAAAGGACTCCGCTGTTCTTAAGACTGTCAGGTCTGGCTGGAGCCGCAAGGATTCTGAGGCAGGGCGGTGGGAGCTGCTATCAGAGAAGCAGATGAGGGTAGATGACTCAGGGCTTCAAAGACAATTGTAGTAAGTTCCCTTTCTGGTATAGAAGCAATGTGAAGCCACCTGAGGATTATGCATGGCGATCACCTGATTCACCTCAGGAAAAGTCATTCCAGCTGCTGTGTAAAATATGTAGGCATGGGGCAAGACTGGGCACAGGAAGGGAAGGAGGAAAGCCCTTTCAGTGGTTCGGGAAAATGACAGTGGTCACTTGGACAGAGGAGGTCACAGTAAAGAGAAAAACATGGCCACTTTAGAGAGAGATTTTTAAGCATAATATCAGGACTTGATGATGGAGAGGAAGCTGTCAAGAATGACATCTTCTGTCTCATTCATTGCCAGTAATTAACTTGTATAGCTGATCTCTTTTAATAGCTTCATACATGTGTATGATTGGGTGAATTTGCACATATGTAGGTATGATAAAGACATCATGTTCAGATGTAATAGTTAGAAAATGTGAAAAAGTATATTTATACAAACAAACTCACATAAGCTTCTTTGAATACATGTAAAGTTCCACTGAAATAATTACCATGACCATGAAATTATATATTTCACAAGAAAGATTTTCAAGCTCATGTGAAGGATAGCTCAGGGTTCACATATCATTTGATTTTAAAAGATGCTACTACGACAAATGGATTTTATTCCTTTTATTGGGCTGATTTCCCACCATCCTTATCCACTGTTTACTGATGGTCAGTAAAACAGACCATGAATAAACTGTCACTAATACAGATTTTATTACCCTAAATGTCTCTTTAGCCACTTGAGATAGTTGGCCATTAGAATACATATAAGCATCTGCACAGGAGCACCCACTGAAGACTTAGGTGGCAAAAGCTCTGGGCTGAATCTACAAATGAATCGGAGTAGCGGTAATTTCTCTACCGGGCTACATTCTTGTTAAAGTATATCCCTCATGTAAGTATCCAGTGCTAAGCTATGCACATCTCTAAAGAAATTGTGCGGGGCGCCTGGGTGGCTCAGTCGTTAAGCGTCTGCCTTCAGCTTGGGTCATGGTCCCAGGGTCCTGGGATCGAGCCCCGCATCGGGCTCCCTGCTCAGCAGGAATCCTGCTTCTCCCTCTCCCACTCCCCCTGCTTGTGTTCCCTCTCTCGCTGTGTCTCTCTCTGTCAATAAATAAAATCTTAAAAAAAAGAAAAGAAAGAAATTGTGCAAAATATATTTACCAGCAGAGAAGTTGGGGATTTGGCAGGACGTGTTCTAACCTGCTGAAATTTATCACCCGAAAAGTCAGAGCAGCTGGTGATGGGTTGTTGGCAAAGTGTCTGGTGATACCAGCAGGAAAGGACAGAACCATTTCTCCAGTAATCTTCACAATACACCTGGCATATCAGAACACAGGAGAGGAAGGAAGAGAGGAAACCCAGGTCAATATGCTGTGAATCAAAACAGTTGTGAAAAAGAAATGATTTATGTAACAATATTACACAGCAGGAGAGACCAAAGGTAAGCTCTTACAATTCCACTGTCAACTACTAAATCAGTTCTAAGACCCGAGAATGCAAGGTTTGTGTTACCACGTATCCAAAAGAGTGGTCATTTGCTGAATGTGTTTTTGAACTGTCAGAAGAAAAATGCAGCTTTTTTCTTTCTGTAGATAAGTCTATATGTTCACCTCACAGATAGAATCATCTGTTCTGATGGTTCTCTGTCTCTTCAATTTCTGAATCTTTGGCAGCATATTTTAAGATATTAAATCAACTGCACAATGTCATCACACTACTCATTGTTGGGACTTATTTTAGTTCTCAGTAACATGATTGGTGCCCTGAGCACGTTCTTTTCTGTACTCGAGAGGTAAACTTCTTGCTTCCATTTAAGCTCTATCTTTATCCCATGTCTATTTGGCTGAAATTGTAAAAATCAGTCAATATAAGTTAGCACAATAAGATGATAATTTGGAAGGAAGAATAATCCTTTTTCAAAAAGGGCTTTATTGGGGCATAAATGACATACAAAAAATGGTACTCATTTATAGTGTAAAATTCCATAATTTTTGATATACACCTGTGAAGCCATCATGCAGTCAAGTTACTGAACGTACCCAGCATCCCTAAAAGTTGCCTCCTGCATTTCTGTGACCCTCGCTGCTGCTCTTCTCCATCCTTCCACTCCCTGCCCCTAAGCAATTGCTCATACGCTTTCTGACACTACATATTAATTTGCACATTCTAGAATTTCATGTAAACAGAATCATAAAGTATGTGATTCTTTTTGATCTGGCTTCTTCCACTCTGTAATTATTTTGAGATTCATCCGTGTAGTGTGTGCATCGTTAGTTCGTGGCTTTATTGCTGCATAGCATATGGTTATAACACAGTCTTTTTTCTTTTTGATCCACTCATTGGTTGACATCTGGATTCTTTACAATTTTTGGGTATTACAAGTAAAGCTGTGATGAATATTTTTCTACAAGTCTTCATATGGACATAGGCTCTCATTTCTCTTGGTAAATGTTACAGGAGTAGAATCCCTGGATCACACTGAAATCAAGTAGTATTAATCCACCAACTTTGTTCTTTTTCAAAATTGTTTTGGCTATTGTAGGTCCTTTGCACTTTCATATCAAATTCATAATCACTGTGTCAGTTTCTACATGAAGTCAATGTAGGTCCAATTCACCCTTTATTGCCTGCACAGAGCGAATTATTTTTGGGCCCTTTATAGACTTTTTCTTTGCCAACAGGCACTATGTTAAATTTTGTCAGTAGAGGGCGCTGAAAAGACATTGCAGGAGGAGGAGATTTTTTTTTTCCTTCCTGGTTCCAGGGTGCTTGCTAGGCAGACTCCTGCAGTAGTTAGGGCATATCTCACGCCAGGCTCTTGCAGTGCAGGAGGCCTGTGTGTGACCTCCGTGGTGCAGGGGGCACCCCCAGTCTGTGGGTATTGCTGCCCATGTGGCTTGGATAGTGCCCAGTGGCACAGGCAGCTTCCCTAGCATCTGCCTCCTGGAGTGCATGTGTCTGGTCTGTCCCAGTGCCCAGATCCTGCAATGAAAGTGGGTTCTCCAGCTCAGCCTCCTGTCATATGCACAATAGCCAAAACAAGAACTTCTATAACTTTAAGTTCAGGAGTGTACACTCTAGGGAACTTGGGGTTCATAGATGGAAACTCTGCTCACATCTGAGTATAGGGAACTCTATTTGTCCAGTAGTCACCTCGTATGGCTGTGTAACTGTGATTAATGAGATACATGTGGCTCAGGGGAGATGGACCTTGGAACATATTTAAAATAGCTTATGTGAAGAACCACTACAGCCTTGTATGTATAAGGCTGGGGTTGAGGTAGAGGTGGGGGGCAGGTGAGCTCCCTAAAGTTGCCATGTCCCCCCCTACCCACCCACCCCTCATTCAGATATTATCATCCATAACTCTGCACTGCTCTGGATGAAAATTCTGGTTTCTGGAAGTTTGCACTTCCATCTCTTCTGGAGAATACTGCCGATCTGCCAGTTGGGGTGCCAATTCTGCTGTCTTCCTTCTCTTTTAGATACATAAACCATGCTTTATTTACTGGTGCTGAGCCCGGACTTCCCCTTAAGCCGAGTCTACTCTTGATGTTTTTCAATTTGTGGATGTGCAGGATATGATTTCACAACTCTAGAAGACAACAGTAATTAGAGCATTTGTTAAATCAGACTTCAGCATCTACCCTCACTTGGTGTGTTGTTGTCAGCAGCGGCAGCTCAAATGTTTTCTAATGGGTAAAGAATCTGCTCAGTTGCTTTGCCAGATTGCTCAAAATGAGATCTAAGTGGTGTCTTGGTGGGGGATAAAGTTTCTCTTTTGAAAACTAGTCAGTGAGAGGAGGGAGTGTTTATTAAGTCAGTAAGCGTTTATCAGCTCCTAACTGTATAATTTTTGAGTGGGGAGGCCATTTAAAAATGAGCAAAACAGCCCCTTTCTTCAAAGGGCTTCCAGTGTTGGGCAGCTGCTGAGAGAAGTAGTCAGTACAAACCAATGTAAAGCACCGAGTTTCTTCATTTATATTACATTTCTGGACTGCATCTCAGCTGTCATAGGCAAAATTTACTGATTTATTAATTCATCCAGTAGCTATTTATGGATCTGAAATTTTCTATACAAAAATGAATATTTCCAGCGCATATTCACTAAAAGAAAATCCTTGTTTAATGATTGTTCCTATCAGTATGCAACGTGGCTACATTTCATGTGAGTTTGAATTACTGAAATCTAAAATCCAGCAATATGGAGATATTAACAAACTCATGTTATGAATAAAATTTGAAATCATGTGAATCCCAACAAATGAAACACTTGTCAAGAATGGCAAAATTTCGGGCGCCTGGGTGGCTCAGTCATTAGGCGTCTGCCTTCGGCTCAGGTCACGATCCCAGAGTCCTGGGATAGGGCCCCGCATTGGGCTTCCTGCTCGGCGGGAAGCCTGTTTCTCCCTCTCCCACTCCCCCTGCTTGTGTTCCCTCTCTCACTGCGTCTCTCTCTGTCAAATAAATAAATAAAATCTTTAAAAAAAAAAAAGAATGGCAAAATTTCAAAATCACCTGGCTAAGTGACTTATAAACTGGGTTCTCCCCATGGCCACAGGCAGTACCACATTAGCCAATCAACAGACATGCTGGCCAATTTTGGTCAGGAAAGGTGTGAATTTGATATATGTGAGGTCATCAGAAGTACATCCCTGACATGAATGTAACTTCTGCGTACTGCTGTGATAAGTAAGCGCACAGTCTTCATTTCAAGTGTACATACCCCTGAGCAGATGCAGCCTCCCTTCCTTTACTTACAATCCCCTTTCATTGGCTCAGGTCCTAGGCAAACTTCTTTTCAGGTTTCAAGACTCAGTTCAAAGGCAGGCCTTTCTGAAACCTTCCTTAATATTCTCTTTATTCAGCCTTCCTTACTTTTTCCTTTCTCTAGGTTCGTTGGACAGAGGTATAGATTTTTTTTAAAACTGTTTCATCGCTTCTTACACATACCTGACCCACTATTGTGAAGGCAAGTGCTGTGTCTTGGGTTCTAGAAAGGCAAATGTGCATGACATAGAACATAGTGCAGAGTAGGAACTCAATAAAATGTCAAAATAAATTCACACATGGGACAATTATACATAGGGTGACTATACAATGTACCAGGTATTACATAATGCCCTGGAAAGGGCAGTGAGAAACAGGACAAATGTGGTCTTTGCCCAAACTTCCAGTTTAATTGGGGAGACAGACACTTGAATAAATAATTGAAATGTGATGATAAGGGAAGGATAGAAAATAGCTGAGAGACATAATTTTTCCAGGAGAGTAAAGAATTAATCCCTAGCACCAGGGTTGTTCAAATAGGAGCAAATAACGGGAGATGTATTCCCCAGCCAACAGCAAAAGTTAAGGACTTCTCTGCCAATGAGCAACAGAGAAAGACTCAGGTGTCAAAATGCCTACTACAGGTGTTGTCAATACTCAGAGAAAGAGTGTAACTATACTTGAATGGATTATATATCATAGCATATAACAATATATATAACATAGTATATATATTTCTGTTTCCAGTGTATGGTCTGAAAGCAAATGGGGAAGTTTTGGGTGCAGGATGAGAAGGAACCACAGGCAAAAGCAAATCCACATGGCTTTTCTGTATCATTTCTCTATGTGGTGCTGTGTTTGACTTTATCTTCCCCCTCCCCCACTCACACTGTGATAGAATTTTTGAACTTGAGATGTTTCCTTGAAAGTGAATAACAAAGGAACAGCAATTAAAATGATTCACTGCCTGGAGCTGAAATTAAATTTAGAAGAATGTCACCTCATGATCTGTTCATAAATTTCAGATCTCATAATTTCAATGAAATTTACTGAATCTCCCATCTACCAATATGCAATACATACTGCAACTACTTATGGCGATATAATTGAAAACAGACTCAGTATATGCAGTCATCTCAAGTCAAAGACTAAGTTCATTTGGAAGGGCATAAGAAAACACCAATATTAATTTGGCTCAAGTGCCACATTGCTGGAATGCCAAGGTCATGGATACCAGGCTCCCAGGTGCAGACCTAGCCACACACCTGCTATGGTGTGCTGGGGAAACTGAAACAGGATGAAGAACCCAGCTGGTCTAGGCACAGACCCACAAAGTGACTGGTAGGCTGCTATACCACTCCTTTGGATTTAAAGAAGATTATTATTAAAAGCTTCTTAACTCCCCTTGCACCATAACTACACCTCTCCTACAGTGGACTATGTATTATATTTATGCACAAGTCTTATTTTCACCAATATAACCCCTGTCTAGCACAATGGCAGGCATATAGCCGTCATTCTGTAAGTGTTAGGAGAGTAATTCAACTCAACTCGTTCAGCAATTATGCCAGATCCTGCTTTAGATGCTGAGCATGTAAGAACGAAGAAAATGCTCAAAGTCCCAGTTCTCATGGATTTTACATTCTAGTGGGGGAAAGAGACAGACAGTGACACTGAAAACATGCAACATGTTAATTAGAGAGAAGGGCGATGGGAAGGGAGAAAGTGCCGACAGCGGCTGGGGAGGAGTGTTGCTATTTGCACAGGATGGACAGGGAAGGTCTCTGGTACGTCTGCTGAAGAATCCTGGAAGAGGTGAGGGGGCAGGTAACTCAGACAGCTGGAGCAGATTTCAGCCAGGCTGAAAGAGCAGCAAATGCTAAGACCCTGAGACGCAGATAGGTTGGCCTAATGGCAATATATGAAGCCAGTGTGGCTAGAGTGGAGTAAATAAGGACACCTGTGATGGAGACAAGATCAGGGAGGTTGGGAGCTGGAAGGGGAGAAGGGTCTTGAAGGCCAGATAATGGAGAGCCTCATAGACCATTGTAAAGCATTAGCGTTTTACTTTGGACAAGGTAGGAGGATACTGAGCAGAAGAGTGATATATTGAGAATAGATTTTAGGGGTCAAAAGTGGGAGTACTCTGACTACCAATTAGGTCTCTGAATAAATGAATTAATGAAAGCCAGTTAGTAAGCAGACAAAAAAAGAGCTTATTTCTTGTGTGATTCCCAGTGTTTTTCATGCTGGTATAGACACCTTTCCACACTCCTGACTATTCTTATTCTTTTTTTTTTTTTTCTTTTGGAAAGAGAGTTTGGGGGAGGGGCAGAGGGAGAGGGAGAGAGGGAATCTTAAGCAGGCTCCATGCTCAGCGCAGAGCCGGACATGGGGCTCAATCTCATGACCCTGAGGTCATGACCTGAGCTGAAATCAAGAGTCAGAAGCTTAACTGACTGAGGCACCAAGGTGCCCCCCTGACTACGCTTATTCTTTAACGGTGTGTTTCTACCTGCCTTTGTCAATTCCAGTCAGCCTGAGCTTTAAAGGTATAGGTAGGCCAGTCAATAATAAGTAATACTTAGAACTGGTATTATAGAAAGTTATGCAAATTCTTTGTTTGAAGAAGAGTCTATAGAACAAACGTGTATGTGTATATGGAGTATATATACAACTTAGTCACATGGTGCTTACTTGTTCTAACGGTTCAAATGCATACTCTGTGTGAGGCAGCTTTTAATTCCTGTTGATATGTGGATGTGGCAAATTACCTTCCTGCTTTGAAGATGAAAGAGAAAAGACATGGGAGAAACCAGAGTGCTACAGACTGAATGTTTGTGTCCTTCCAAAACGTATATGCTGAAATCTAATTTCTGGTATGATGGTGTTTGAAGGTGGGCCGTTGCGAGGTGATTAGGTTATGAGGGTAAGACCATCATAAATGAGATGAGTGCCTTTATAAAAGCAACCCTGAAGAGGTCCCTACTACCCCCGCCCCACACACACACCCTCCCATTTAAGGTTGTTTTGAACCAGGAGCCTGCCTCTGGTCAGATACTGAATCTGCCAGAGCCTTGATCTTGGACTTCCCAGCCTCAAGACCTATGAGAAATAAATTTGTGTGGTTTAGAAGCGACTCAACCTACAGTATTCTATTACAGCATCTCAAATGGACTAAAACACACCGGAGTCCATAGTGTTGGTTTGTCTACAACAGTTTGGGCTTAGAATAAAATCTAAATGTTGTAAAAAAAGGACATGACATTTAGGGAGGTTGATAGATCCCACTGTCTCTTGATAGGGCACTTAAAGGTAGAGTTACTAGTCATGTTTCCCAGCATAATATTGTTAGATTTAGGCTTATAAAAACTAGCGTTTCTGAAGTGTAAAGAGGATTTCACACTTAATCACAAAAATTCTCACTTAAAATATATGTGGAAATCCAAGTTCTAATTATACTTAATTATCACTCTTTAAAAAATTTTCATAAAATGGTCTAGTGTTCTATGTGAACATTTTCTAATTCTCACTTCCATGGATACTAAGGTCTTCTAAGTCCTCGTCCTTGTAAGTAAAAAATAAAAAGCAATTCTCTCCTCACTTAGGTTTGTCCTTTGTTTATCCATCACGTTCAGGCCTGGAAATGTGTTAATGACACACATGAAAGCCAGTTTGACTTCGGTGTTTTGTTTTCAGTGTAGACTAATAATCACGCTTAATTCTTTTTTTTTTTTTGGATCATATACCTCTTTGTGAAATTGATGGATGTTATAGACCCTCTCTATGGACAAATGTACATATGCACACACAACAAGATATGCCGTATAATTTCAGGGAATTTATAAACTTCCTGAACTCTATCCAGAGAAATCCTTACAGAAAAGCAAAATATTTAATCATATTACAAATGCATTCAGAGGTCAAGTTCACTGTCACTGTGTACTGAAATAAGTGAAATCAGGCTCAGTAAATAGGGAGTGGTGCATTTTTCTCTAGAGTTTTTACTTTGCTGTGATTGTAATTTTTTTGGCCAGTTTTTCCTTAGTTAGTAAGGGTAACATATAACTTGTCTTCTTACTAATCTCTGTGTTATGAAATGTGTGTTTTTCCAGGTTCTCATTCCAGTGCACCATTTCTCAGTTTATATGTGAGTGATTCCCATCCAGCAAAGACTAAGACAATAAAGACATGATCTAGACATTTACTTTTGTGAGATAATAAATTTTTTTGCTGTTGACGGAATTGGGTTAGGATTTTCTGTAAACTTGCAACCAAGACTGAACCAGAGATTTCTAGGGAGCAAGATATTAGATTATCAGTCCTTTTGGCACATTTTTTTAAAAAAGCAGTGAATTAATAGTTCTAATTTAAATTTTCTCCTCCATTCTATGTATGCCACCTGTTATTGTTAACCGAATTTTTGTTTGGTTGGTTGGTTCATTTTAGGATAAAGAATGAAATAGTTATATTTAGGGTGCCCCTCTCCCCCCATTGAATAGGCTAGAGTTTGGAGAATACAGTGGATGAAGCCCCAGGCTTACTTGCTTGGATCTGCTCCTTTGAAGTAGGCATTGACCGTTTCTGTAAATGCTGCTGCAACAGGGAGGGTGTCCTGGGCTCCCATGGTTAGGGGGCTGGGTCCCCTGGAAGAACCTGCACGAAATGAAAAACTTTCATTTATTATGAACATAGGAGACATATTAGTATATGTGGAACTTAAAGCCCATTTAAAAAAGGATTAAAGGATGAAATCTATTACTGAAAAAACAAAATGTGCTAAGAACCACATGTGTGTATTCAACATAGAGCTCAAGTATTTAAAAGGAAATATTTGGCTGGTTTACAAACAAACACACTTGAAATTAATTCAATTACATATTTTTCTAAGAAAAAAAAATCCAAGCAGAAGAACAAAGTCATAGGGGGTTTTCAATGTTTTACATAAAGCATAAGGCAGTATTTGAATGACAGTTTGTACAGCAGGTAGTTAATAAAGAAAATGATTAGCTTCCTATTTGAGCACTCACCCTACACTCAAAACTTTTTTTGTTTCTTTATTTTAAAGAGACAATGGCCATGGGGTACCATGTCACACATTGTTCTTTTCTGGATTATTTCTGTTTCGAAAAGCCCAATTACCTTCAGATCAAGTAGGCTCAAGTTTACATGTCCAAAAACATACACAACATAACATACACCATGACTTAGCTCAGACACACAAGTACATCAGTTCATAGTCTAAACAATAACAGCAACACTCATGTTTATTGAACACCTGCTACACGCCAGGTTCTGTGCTAGAGGGCTTCCAAGAATTATCTCATTCAAACCCCACCTCAGGCCTTTAGGATAACTATTATGATTTCCATTCTACGGAAGAGAAAACTAAAGTTCAAAGAGATAAGGGACTCACCCAAGATAACAGGTAAGTGGCAAAGCTAAAATTCAAAGCTAGATTTGCTGCCTTATAAAGCTTGTGTTTTCCGCATTATATTATACAGTTTGTCTAAATGAAACATTCCCTTTTATGGTTTTGATATAACTTGAGGTTTCTGAAAGGAGCAAAATTTAGGATTGTTGTCTTTGCTATTCATCTCTAGGCATGGTACTAGACAGTAAAGTTTTAGTAATGACAAGTATTTAATTATGTCGTCGCTCACTGCTTCTCCTTCCTATCAAACAAAGCACATTTACTCTTCCCCACCCCAGAGCAGACTACGTATTACGCTTTTTTCTTTTACCTTTGTTAACTTCTGTACTCTTCTCTGGCCATTAAAAAATCTACCTTTGTGTATCCACCTCCTCAATAAAGTTTTCTTTGGTAATTCTCATTCATGCTGGTCTCTTCTTTAACTGTCTTCCCTTGGCTTTCAGTATTTTGGACTTGGTAATTGATTATTAACAAATACATGCTTACTCTCTACTATGTATAAGGCACTATGGTAGTTTCAAAATCAAGTTAAACATCACCAAAAAGTTTGAAGTTAAACATAATCCCTGTCCTCAAGGAGTTACAGTTCAGTGTGCTAACATCATCATTGTCAGTATTCACCAGCATTACCTCCAGCACTGTTATTTGTTGCACGCTTCGTATGTGTTTTACATATATCGTCTATGTAATGTATGAAGTGAGTGGAGAGAACAGAGAAGGTTTCATTGAGAAAGTGATATTGGAGAGAGGCAAACCATAAAACAGACTTAACTATAAAGAACAAACTGAGGGTTGCTGGAGGGGAGGTGGGTGGGAGGATGGGTTATAAATGGTTTGAGAATGAATAGGATCTCACAAGGGGGAGAAAGAAGAAGACCCAGCATGTACTTACATGTGGAACTGAGCAAACATACGGCCTTTTGAGAAACCACAGGAAGTATGGCACTCTTTGCGTGTGAGTGTGCGCAAATGCAGTGGGTATTGAAAGGTGAGACATGGAAGGAGATGAGGTTGGGGGCTGTTAGAAATTAGCTCATGAAAAGTTTTATATAAACACTTAGGAAATTTTGTTTATTTTATAGGTGATTTATAAGCATTAAAATCATAGTTACTTTTTGATAATGTAATACAAATCTATGGATGCTTTTCGAAGCAGCGTGCACACGTATACAGCATTCAAATAATTTGAAATAGTGCTTGGAAGTCCTCAAACTGAGGTTAAGAGCACCATCTCTAGAAGATGGGAGGCCTCTGAAGTATTTGAAATAGGGAAGTTATGATGGGGCTTGAGTTTAAATTGCTCTAGAGATAGCATGGCAGATAACTTAGGGACAAGGACAATAATGTAGATGAAGAGATCTCTTAGAAAGAAAAAAGGTAAAATTGGCAAGAAATGCAGATGTTAGCAGATAAAGGGAATGTCATAGACATAATATTTTTCAGTTTTGCAAGGCATTTAATGGTTTTCCATGCTATTCTTGTGAATAAAATTGTGAAAGTCAGGTAGATAATAGTCTTGCCAAGTGAATTGACTATTAGATGAATCACAATATCCAATGAGCATGAATCAGTGGTTTTACATCTGTTGTGAAGGAAGTCTCTAGTGGAATACCCTAGAGTTCTATCCTTAGTCTGGGCCTTGGATAAAACTGGGAAAGATGCTTAGAAATGACACATTATAGTGGCCAAAAGCATGGGATCTGTCATTAGACATACTTGGGATTGAGTTTTGTTTCTAACACTTGTTATTTACATGACCTTTGGCAGGGATGATATAATAACACTCACTTCTTAGGCCTGTTTTGAGGATAAAATGAGGTAAAATATTCAACACAGTGCTTGGTCCATAGTAAGCACTCATTAATTTCCCAAACAATTGTTTTGGGAAAAACTGGTTTGGTGAAAGAATATGTGAAAAAAATATTTGGGGGATGGAGTTGATCATCAACTGTCCTTGCTGGGCTCCAAATATGTCATCAGTTGAGCTACATCAGTGGATGAGTAACAGATGGATCCCCAGAAATGATGGCTTTACTGCTTTTTGTTTGCATGCTTTGTTTTCAAGCTCATCAGGTGGTAGTCAGTCCACTTATCCACAAGCTAAATACCAAACTCCTCAGCGTAATGATGGGCAAGACCATCTGCAGTGCTGTGGGCTGAATGTTTGTGTCCCCCCAAATACATATGTTGCAAATCTAATGCCCCAGGTGATGGTATTAGGAGGTGGGGACTTTGGCAGGTGGTACAGTCATGAAGGTGGAGCACTAATGATTGGGATTAGTGCCCTTTTAGAAGAGGCCCCAGAGAGCTAGCCTGTCCCTTCCACCACGTGAGGACACAGCAAGACCAGCAATCTGCAACCTGGAGGAGGGGTTTCTCCAGGACCCAACCACTGACACCCTGATCTTGAACTTACAAACTTCCAGAACTGTGAGAAATACATTTATGTTGTTTATAAGCCACCTGGTCTGTGATAATTTGTTACAGCAGCCAGAATGGACTAAGACATGCAGTCTGACCCATGTCTATCCACGACCCACCTACCTCCATACCCTCCAGAAACCCTTTATTCAAGCTATGTTTACCTGTGGGCATTATAGTCCTTATTTAGATCTAATCTATAATGGTAGGAGAGGAGAAAACATCAAAACTTTACAAAGAACCCTTTTACCTTAAAGAATCCACTGCTTACAATTCTAAATTCTTCACATCTTGATACACTGCAATTAATATGCCATTTTTTTTTTTTTGTTTTACTTTTTCCACTTATTGCATAATTTTCTTTGCTGCTATCTGGTCTCCATACCATTTTTGGCAAGTACGTATTATTCTACAGTCTCCAAATGTTGGGCCATTTCCAAGTAGCAGTTATCCTAATTCTATCTTTGTGTAAACTTGTCTTCTTTCCCTTTTTAATTATTTCCTTAAGATGTAGATTTATTACTACAAGCTGGGATGCCTAAAACATAAGGCAGATAAATTTTTTATTCCTGAGAATGCCATATTATTGCACATAAAGCTTATACTCCATGAAAATGCTATTAGTAATGAACAAAAGCTTTTGTTCCCCTGCAGTACCTGTGGAAGTACCTGTTAATAGGATTATTGGAAAACCGGACTAAAACCAGGAGAGCCTAAGATGGTGAGAAATTTAAGCCTCGTGGCCTAAGAAGACTAAGAGGGGCCTAGAAAATATTTTCGAACATCTGAAAGAACATTACCAGACAGTGACTCAAGGGACCAGAGTTCATGGCCATGGATCTGCAAGTGAATAGCTTTGTGACCTTGGGCAAGTCAGTTTACTTTTGTTTTTTTTCAATGGTAAAATGAAGGACATAGATCATATAATCTCTGTTTTAGGATTCTATGATGTTAAGTTGTTTATAGGCATTTAAATTTTTTTGAACTGTAGGAACAATTTTCTAAGACAGAAGTAAGCTGCTTTGAAAAAGTATCCCTTCATTAAAGATTTGAGCGGATCCGTCAAGCATTTACTGAGCCTCTACTATGTGCAAGATAGTGGTGGGAACACCAATATGTAAACCTCCAGAAAATAAGACATAAACATATGGAAAAATCTAATAACAGTAACATATGCAAGCAAGAGCTTAATAGTTCAAGTGACTATTGAGATTATTTCACTGCAAGAATTATGAGATTATTTCACTGCAAAATTAATTGCCAAATGAGCAGTATAGGGGAGGTTGTTCTGTGACTTAACAAAAGGAAATTTCAGCTCTGGAGTCATAGAGACTTGGGTGTGAATCCTGGGTGCTCCACTTACAACCTGTATGACTAAGGGCAAGCTATTTAACCATCTGTGACTCAGTTTTGAAGTCCAGTAGGTATTTAGGTAGAAAACAGAGGAAGATGATACACAGATGGTATTCTTCACTGAGCATGGAGATAGACTAGCATTTCTAGGTTCCTTCCACAACCAACATTCTGTTATCATAAGAACAATGAATTCTATGCATGCATGCTTAGATTTTGCAGATCACATATGTGGCCATTAAATCTGTTAAAGTTGCTTGATATAATGCTTGGACGAGTAGGACACAAAAGTTGGTTGAATGTATGTTTTCTTTTGATTCATTCAAATATGAGTTCCTGTAATAATTAAGCATCGTGCTAAGTGCTGACTGATATGCCCCTCCCTTCATGGAGCTTATGTTATGGAAGGGGACTACAATATTAGACACAAATGAAAGATAAAGCACTA